TATATATATATATATATGTATATATTTTCTAATAGCAACCAAACCAATATATAAAAACTCAAGCCCAAATACAAGAAATGTGCAACCAACTGACACAACCCAGAAACATAACCTAAAAAGGCTATGAAAACAAAAGAACAAGGGAATAAAATTTACTCCCTCTTCAAAGCCTTCTTGGTTAACAATAAAGAAAAATTACAAGAACTTTGTCCACAAGGAAATAACAAGGACTAAAACAATCCAAAATCACATATATATCATAATAAAATGTAGATACTGCAGTAGGGGGAAGATTTCTAGAGCTCAGCGGCGGAGCCATGGCAAGAAAATCCGCACAACAACAGAGGAGTTTTTTTCCACCTTCACTGATCAGCTTTTGCAAACTCCACCCAATTGCCATCAGGGTTGCTTTTTCAACGTTGCCTGCGCGTTCTAGAGTACCTCCATCCAGCAAAAGATCTGTTGCCCTTTCTTTTCCCCAGTGCAGCCTACTCCTTCTGAGCCTTCCTGAGACTGTTAGTCTCAGGTAAGCAAAAAATGCTTCCGGCACAAACGAACACTTTTAGGATGAAAGAAGAAGATTATGAACAACTCAATGTATTGAGTATTAAGTTTTTCTGTGTGTTTTCAAAACAAAAAACTGCATACCTATTTATAAGAACTAAAAACAACTATCCTAGTGACTTTCCTAGAAATTACTTAAGTTGAAAAGCCATGAAAAATCAGCCTAAAATGGCTGCCATGAAAGTGCTTTGCAGCTGCACTACCAAAGAAGCTGCCGGGAAAAAACAGCAGATTATATCTTACAATTCTTCAGCTGCACTACCAAAGAAGCTGCCGGGAAAAAACAGCAGATTATATCTTACAATTCTTCCCCTAATCCTGCTGTTCTTGCTTGTTTCCCACCATTCCAATCTTGATCCTCAGCTCCGTGAATCGAAGACGGCCGAGTGGCTTGGTAAGGATGTCTGCGAGCTGCCGTCCGGATTCGACAAACCCTAAAACAATCTGTCCTTCATCGATACAATAACGGATGAAGTGAAAACGGGTATCGATGTGCTTGCTCCGATCATGGAGGACTGGATTTTTTGCAAGGGCAATGGCGGGCTGGTTGTCCACCATCAGAGCTGGTGGACTAGCTTTCTCGCCGGTCAGCTCTCCCAGCAACCGATGTAGCCAGACCGTATGGCACGCCGCTGTGGCGCCGCCACGTACTCCGCCTCGCATGTAGACAACGCCACCATCTATGTCGCCTGCCATGTCTGCATCGCTGAAAACTGTGAGTCGCAGCTCACTTCCGTCGCCGGTCTTGGGGAAAATGATGCCCTGATCCACCGTCCCCTTGACATAGCGCAACAGCCGTTTTACTGCAGCCCAATGATCCTCTCGAGGATCCTCCATGAAGCGATTGACATAGCCCACGGCGAATGCGATATCTGGCCTCGTGTGGACTAGGTAGCGCAGCCCGCCGACGATACTCCGGTAGAGTGTTGCATCTACCTTCCCCGCGGTGCTGGCTTTCGTCAGCTTCAGCCTCTCCTCCATCGGAGTCACGCATGACTTGCAGTCAGCCATGCCGCTCCGCTCCAACAGCTTCCCCGCATATGCACGCTGGCAGAGAGTGATGGAGTCTCTCCCCTGCTTCACCTCGATGCCGAGGTAGTAGGAGAGCTGCCCGAGATCGCTCATGCGGAAACGAGCTGCCATCTCGCGCTTGAAGCCGTTGATGTCCTCTTCTCTTGCCCCGGTGATGATCAAGTCATCTACATACACGCCGACGATGAGCTCTTCCTTCCCCCGTCGTCGCGTGTAGAGCGCGTGTTCTGTCGCGCAGCGCGTGAACCCAAGCGTACCCAGGGTGGCATCGAGTTTGGCGTTCCACGCTCGTGGGGCTTGACGCAGCCCATAGAGTGCCTTCCGCAGACGCAACACCTTGTGCTCCTCTCCCTTGACGGCGAAGCCCGGCGCTTGCTTGACGAAGACAGTCTCCGCTAGCTCACCGTTGAGGAAGGCCGATTTCACGTCCAGGTGATGAATGCACCAGTCCTTCGCTGCTGCCATGGCCAGCAGTAGGCGAACTGACTCCATGCGCGCTACTGGTGCAAAAACTTCCTCAAAGTCGATGCCCTCACGCTGGACGAACCCCCGAGCAACGAGGCGCGCCTTATGCTTGACTATAGCGCCACTCTCGTCCCGCTTAACCTTGTAGACCCATTTGAGCCCAATTGGATGACAGCCTGGAGGTGGATCGATGAGCTCCCACGTCTCATTTTCCTCGATCGCCTTCATCTCCTCTAGCATAGCTCGTCTCCAACTGACATCGCGCTCGGCCTGCGCGAAAGTCGATGGCTCCTCTGCGCTGACGAGGAGCATCTCCTGATCGTCGAGTAATCGGCTTGCCAAGCCTGGTACAACCGAGTTGCCAACGAGGTTGTCCATCCTGCGAAACCTCACCTCCTCACCATCGTGGAAAGCATCCACATACTCGTCGATGTTGCTTGGAGGAGAGGTGAACTCAACTGTCGTCGCTGGAGGTGTCCCCTGTCCTGCCGCAGCAGGGGACTGTGGTGGGGGCGTGTGCGCAGCTGCTGGTGGAGACTCTTCGCCCGTGCCCATGGCCGGACTTTACGGCTCAACTGACGCAACCACAGTTGCTGGACTTGGCGCGTCCGCAGCTGGCTCCTCTGATCGCGCATCTCCTCCTCCGTGGATCACCAAATGCTCGATGACAAACGTACCGCCGACGCCACGGGCTTCCCCCGTGCCAAGATTCTCCCAATCCCAGGCCGCCATTTCGTCGAACACCACATCCCGCGAGACCACCACCTTGCCTCCACGTGGATCGTAGAGCCGATAGGCCTTGCTCCCCTCCTCGTAGC